TCTAGCCCTAACTGGTTTGGCTCAGTGGATAGAGCGTCGGCCTGTGGACTCAAAGGTCCCAGGTTCGATTCCGGTCAAGGGCATGTACCTTGGTTGCGGGCACATACCCAGTAGGGAGTGTGCAGGAGGCAGCTGATAGATGTTTCTCTCTCTATCCCTCTTCCTTCTTCTCTGTAAAAAATCAATAAAATATATATATAAAAAAAATTTCTATATGTGACATGGCACCAGAGTTAAGTTAGGGTTTTTCAAAATGCTGACACGCCGAGCTCAAAAGGTTCGCCATCACTGCCCTAGGTCAGCAGATACTGGGGACCACATGGGCCCTGACCCAGCGTGAAGGGCAGAGAAGGTTTCTTAGCTGAAGCCCAATGGCCTCAGAAGGCATTAGCTCAGTAAAGAAGGGCTGTCACTAGGCCTGTGACTTTGAACAAACCCCTTCACTTCTCTGAGCCTCTGTTTCCTTACCTGTAAAATGGATATTACTATCAGCTCTCCCTAGGCCACCAGGGGTGTTGAGCATGGAAAGGTTAGAGCAGAATTCTCATGAAGTACAACAAAGTATTATAACCCAACAAAAGAAAGGATAAGAGGCGCAAAGAGGCACTCCATAGAAAAGGAAATACAGATAGTCAAAAAACCAGAAAAGCCCTAGCCGGTTTGGCTCAGTGGATAGAGTGTTGGCCTGAGGACCGAAGGGTCGTGGGTTATTTCCAGACAAGGGCACGTACCTTGGTTGCAGGCTTCTCCCCAGCCTGGGCCCTATTCAGGGCACATGCAGGAGGCAACCAATCAATGTGTTTCTCTCACATCAATATTTCAAAATATTGCACAAAAACGTGCCATGTCTAAAAATCAATGGAAAAATATACTCGGGTGAGGATTAAAAGAAAGACAAAAACAAACAAACAAACAAAAACCAGGAAAGATATTCGGTTATAGCTTGACAATGCCTCCTCATGTGGAGTAGCCACATGGCCCACTGCCCTGAGCTCTTCTGCAAATGTGCACTGGAGTGTGCACAACACTCAGAGCAGCCCTGTTCACAAGTGCAAACACCTGGAAACATTCAAATGCCCACCCACTGGAGAGAGGATGAATGCTATAGTCACACATTGGAATACTGCACGCAGCCAGAATGCACTACACTAGCATACAACGATATGGATAAACATTAGCAGCATAATATTAAGTAAAAAGAAGTTCCCCAAATTACATACAGCAAGATGCCCTTTTTGTAAATTTAAAAACAACTAAGATTAAAATGTACACTTTAAGGAAATCCACAGATGCAAAAAAAAAACTATATAAAAAGGGAATGATGGGCACAGGAGGGGATGGTTATCTTGGGTGGTGGAGCAGTAGGAGAATGGGTGGGGGAACTATATAATGAGATGTAGGACATTGTAAAGGTCCTAGTTGTTTTGGTTTTTCTGGGAGTCAAACAACTGGTGAGAATGTGTCATGCACAAAAGGTTATGAATCATTCAATTCTGTGCCCTGAGGTCTAATTATAAAGAAAAGAAACAGGACAATCTCAGGACATTCCTATTTGATTTTGGAATGGAATGGTCAGGAGATGCTGGGGATTACAGGGCACTGACACAATATGAGGGCAGAGAAGGTTTCTTAGGAGTCAGGAGCCAGAGTTCTTTCCTGGAACTCATTGCTGCTGCTTATTATTATTATTATTATTACTATTTTTAATTTAAAGTATTACATATGTCTCCTTTCGGAACTCATTGCTTCTTACTCCTCATCTTTCTCCCCCTTAACGACCTGAGGCCCAACATTATCCATGACTTTGACCATCATAACCTTT